AAAAATTGTGTTAATTTAAACAAAAACGTACAGGTGAGGCGAAGGGCCTACAAGTGGCATATGTTGTCTATCATAATGCCTGTCTCGTGTTTTTTAATATTAAAGGAAGACGTTTTTTACGTGATTCATTTTGCTATTTTTGTTAATAGGAGTAAATTTTGATTTTCCTTTACTCTGATGTTTCTACTTTCGTTTTGTATGTCGACTGCTACCATTAATGTTAATCTAGCAACGATGGCAAGAGCCCTTTGACACTTACTTTTAAAAGCCATAGATTATTCGAAAATTAGCTTAAGTGTCATTACCGTACCGATCTTTTCAAAGAGGTCCGCAACATTTTTGGGGTCTAGAATTTTTCGAAATTCTTACCACTGGTCCGATTTACTGCGAATAGGGAAGCATATGAGAATTGCTGAATTATCCTTCAAGAAAATAAGTATTTGGCGGCTGCTCGTGCTTTTAAAACATGGTAAAATTCGTATCTCTATATTTTTGTACCGTACTAGATGTAAATTAATGAACTAGCCGGTGTGTGTATGAGTATTAAAAGAGTTCGTCGCCGGTCTCATCGATGATTGGGTACTCACTGACCAGTTAAAATTAAGATAAACATCAACTTTTCCGCCACAATATCGCAAGCTGGTACGTGTTAATTCTGAACGATGAGTTCCATTGTGGATTGGTTGTTCGGGTCGGTCTCAAAGGTTTTAAATTACCTCGGCCTGTACCAAAAACACGGAAAACTTGTATTCTTGGGGCTTGACAATGCCGGAAAGACTACGCTATTACATCGACTCAAAGATGACAAAATGGCTCAACCTGTGCCCACTTACCACCCGACTTCAGAGGAACTTTGCATTGCCGGAATGAGATTTACGACTTACGACCTGGGTGGCCATTTGCAAGCCAGGCGAGTATGGCACAATTACATTCCTGCTGTTGACGGCATAGTTTTCATCGTTGATGCAAGTGAAAATGAGAGGTAAGCTCGCCGTCTTTTCAAAGCATTTCACACTGAAGGTTTATGGAGGCGAAAACTGAACTCGATAGCCTCATAATGGATCCACAAGTAGCAAATGCTCCCATCTTAATTCTTGGCAACAAGATCGATAAACCAACGGCCGTGAACGAGGCACTTCTACGGAACTATTTGGGCCTCGACGGTCAATTAACTGGAAAAGGAATTGTACCCAGAGACCGAATTGCTGGCGGCCGTCCTATCGAAATCTTCATGTGCAGCATCCTTAAACGACAAGGCTACGGGGAAGCCTTTAACTGGCTTGCCCAATACCTCGACTAAGATTATCTTTCGGTTCTCGTCTTCTTCTGCATATT